GACACATATTTGTATAAATGTATAGCTTACTTTTGTTTAATAAAGCGCACGCAACTAGCCTGACAGAGGGTTAAAAATAAAAAAAAAAAAAAAATTAATTATATCTTGACAAATCTGAATATTATCTAATAGTTTGACATAATAAGAATATTGTAATAGGTTATAGTTAATTTACTAATATAAAGACTATTAATATCATGTTTAAGAATTAATTTTCTAATAAAAACTTATATTTAATACTTATTTGCAATAAAAAATAAAAAAGCAAATTTATTAATTTAATATAAAATAAATTTTATTTTAAACTTAAAAATAATACAAATATTGAATTATGAATGTTGAATTTTATTTAGTTAAATATGAATATATAATTCTTATTTAGAATATTTTTATTCAATTTTTTTTATTTAGATATAAAATTTTAAACTTGATAAAATTCTTACAAATATTTAATTATAATTTCTTTAAATAATAAGTACAATATATAATTAAAATTCAACAAATATATAAATTTTGATAAAATTAAAATTTTAATAAATATTAAAATAAAAAATAGCAATTTTTTAAAAAATTATTTAATAATTTGTTTATTATACATTTGTAATATATATATATATTAGAAATATATTAATATTGAATCATATAGATTGATTATTATTTATACTAAATTATATAGTATAAATATTAAATTATATAGTAAAAATAAATTGATAATTTATTTATATTATTAATTTACTAAATTATTTATTTATTTATTTTTTTTAATTGAACCATAACTGGTATTAGATACAAACTTTATTTAAGAATTAACTTAATTTAATGGATAATTAAATCCTATAGCAGTTATATCAATTATCTTCTACAAACCATATATTTCTATATCTATGTAGCTTAATAATAACCTATTGCGGTTTGTCCTAGATAGACCTGCAACCACTCTGTGAGTGGACAGACTTAGCTAGGAACCAGATGATTAATATACAGTCATCAACTGCTAGTTTAGGCTAGTTCGTATTGGGATTACAAATTTTTATTGTTTCACTAAGCTAGTCTATAGTTATGTGTATCCAACAGGATATATAACACTCTTCAATATTTCCAGATATATTATTCACTCAGACCTCGAAAAGGGGTACTTTTCTTCTTTGTCATCACCTGTGGCATCGGACCAGTCCCTATTGACTGATTTTTAATTAAGCGGAGTACCAGATTGAGATATCCTGAGCTAGGAGAGTAGGAGTCCTGGAGATTGCCAGGTCAGAGTGGACTTGGAGTGTTTTTGTGGGAGGCTAGACCAAAAACCTTTTTTCATACAATCCTTCCAGTAGTACGACCATAGATCTCAGCCCTTGATCAACGGAAAGCTAGAAGTCCTATCTTCATATAGCTTAATCTAACTAGAACTTGTTCCAGATGATTGGGTACGACTTTTACAGGATAATCGGTAAAACCTGATTAGAAAGATAATTTTTGATTTTGATCCTTAAGTAGTATTGAACTACAGACCTTGTAATTGTGACCTGGGAGCACTACCATTGTGTTATTGATCCATAGGTCTTAAATTATTTATTTTTAATAAATGTTATATAAGTAATATTATATTATTTAATACTTATTTGCGATTAAAAAAAAAAAAAAAAAATAAGTAATATTATATTAAATAAATATTTTTTGATTAAAATATCATTAAAATATATAATTAAAATTAATAAAAATTTATTTATATTTTAATAATTAATATATTTTATATCATTAATTATTTTTAATGAAATTGTATTATTCAGAAAATTAGAATTAAACTGAAATTAATAAACCTTATTAAAAAAATAGTTAATAAATCTTTATAATAACTGTTTCAAAAGTACAAGGATTTTTAAATACTTTACAATTAAATTTTTTTTAACTATGAAAAGTCAAGTTTTTGACAAAAGAAATTATATGTAAATAAAAAAAAATATCAATTGTTCTTAAAATATTTTTTTAAGTTGTTTTAAAAATATTAATAAATCAAAGATTACAAAACTTCCATGTAAACTTCTTTTTTATATATAGTCAAAAATCAATAAAAAGAGTTTTTTTCTTTTATTATTATTTTTTTTTTTTTCTTCTTCCTTACTTATAGTTGAACCAATTGATTATAACATTTGGGTTGTTGTTGCTACTATCCAATAAAGACAAATCATAAATGCATCTCGTCACGTGACTTTATATTTATCGTGAACATCTATTTAAATATTCATGAGACAGACCCATGAATAAGGATGTGGAAAAATGAACACGGTATCTTCTAAAGGTACCATTGTTCGAAACCTATGCGGGTACAATAGTTGGTAGCTCGCCGTAAGGCCGGACATAGAATAATACAAACATCATACTTTGTTCTTTAAAGAAAATCAAAGAGCAAGTTAGATGTGGTCTCTCAATTGATCAAACTTTATTCATAGTATTGAAATTTTTTTGACAAAGGCAGAGATCAACATTTCTGTTTCGTTGAAGTTTTATATTAATAAGTTTAACGTGCGACGTAGTATGTAGATTGTAACTTTACTTAGGTGGCAGTTACTATATTTTTACGAATACCTAAAATTGTTTTGCGCGTAAAGATATTATTTATAATTTTTTATTGGATAGCACGAATTTTAAATTATGGACGCTTTGAATTAATTGCTAAATAGACAAATCCGAATAAACTGGGAAAGTCGTTTATTAGGATATTAGCTACAACTATTGGTATTTTTGCATCTATTTATTCATCTTTCCATTTTGCTTCACGCTTTTCTACAAATGCCTTCATGCCTTCTGCTTTATCACTCTGTGGTATGGTTCGGTGCGAAAATATTTGTTACTATCAGAAGCAATTCGGATTCACGTGAAGGCTAAACTAAACATACCAATGAAAATAAACTTTGAAATAGTCTTCTTTCGAAATGGCACCCTTCTTTGAGCGATAATTCATACGCTGTTTGGAAAATCGAGCATTAAGATATCAGAATTTGCATCTTTAGTCTAACGGTATTTCACATGCGCAAATGCATACGTGACCAAATGATTAAAACATACCGCTATTAATTGATTCCTTGGCGGCTTGGACAGAAGGCTGGGAAAGACCCGCGATCTCTTGACCAAGCTTAATGGCCTCTTCAAGTACCTTATCAACAGGAAAGATCCTACTCACCAAACCCCACTTTTCAGCTTCTTGTGCTGAAAATTTTCTACCCGACAATACGATTTCCATTGCTCTTGATTTTCCGATTGCTCTTGTAAGCCTTTGAGTACCACCAGCACCTGCATCCCAGGAAAAGTATGATGTTTAAAAAGCAAAGATATCTGAAAATCGACATGAAAAGTGAAATGCTGTTAAGGGAATGCATCAAAGCATTCCCAAGAATGAAATTGCACCTGGAATGATGCCAAGCTTGATTTCTGGTTGGCCGAATACAGCATTTTCACCAGCATAAATTATGTCGCAACTCATAGCCAATTCGCATCCACCACCCAACTAGTGAATTATATAATAGATATGGTCGAATTAAAATTTTAAGTGAGAAACTCAAATTCGTATCACTTTTAGGACTAAATACCGCGAATCCATTAACGGCAGCAATTGTGGGTTTCTTAACGTCGTTGATTTTACTCCAATGGCCGAGGAAATTTGCTTTATAAACTTCCGCGAAACTTTTATCCAGCATCTCCTTGATATCGGCACCGGCTAATATACGGAATAGGATAATAAGTAAATAACTTGAGATCGAAATTGTGGTCCAATTATAGTTTCAAGAATCTTTGAACTTTAAAAAAGTACTTTCCAGCAAAAGCCCTTTCAGTGCCGGTAATCACGATAGCGCCGATGTTCGAATCACTATCAAATTTTTCCAATGCATCGTTAACCTCATGAAACAGATCACTCGACAAAGCATTCAACGCTTTTGGTCGATTTAGTGTGATCAATCCGACTTTATCATGACCTTCCGTTATAATGTGATCATAATGTGGTGCGGCGTCTTTATGACTTTCTAGTTCGATAGAAAGATTTTATTGATTCGATATTAGATTTCAGTTGGAAATGCAACTTCATCGTTAATAATAAATAAAAAAAAAGCATACTGCGCAAAGCATTGTAGGTGCTAAAGCGAGAAAACTGGACATAAAGTCTAGTTCGCGATAATGGACGTGCAAGAGAAGTAAACATTGCAAAAACAAAAACCAGATGGAATGTATCGATGTTATATAGAGATCACTTATGTAATCTGGTACAAATTCGGAGATTAATGGCTTTCGATGATTCTGATTTACAGTTGAGAGGTACAGCATAGCATTCATATAAGGTATTTAGATTAGTATATTTTAAGCAAGTTAATTATTTTTTTTTTTTAAAAAAAAAATGCATAATAAAAAATATTATAGATTTAAATATACAGTATATAGTGCATTTTTTAAATTCTTTTAAAAATTTTTTTTGATTAAACAAATAATTTTAATGTTTAAGTTAAATACATGAAAAAAAAATAATGATAATAAATTTTTTTATCTGATATCATTTTAAATCATAACATATGGTATAGTAAATTAATCTTAAATAATGCATTTTCATATATTCACACTTTAAAAAAAATTTTTTTTATTTCTTTTGAATTTAAAGCATTTGCCTCAATTTCTCAGTTTGAATAACCCGCCATAATTGTACTGTAACATTAAATTTTTATGTACAGGATTATTTATACTGTACATACAAGAATTTTTAGCATTGATAGATTTTTAATGAATAATCAGAAACATTAAATTAACTTGATGTAAAACATATCTATCTACATATTATAAACTTCCTGCTAACTGAGAGGGCAATTCTTTTACGAAAAATCAAGCGTCTGTTTTTTTTTGCATGTGCACCCGTATTAGAAAATTTTAATGAGAACATGCTCAGTAATATTACCTCTTAGATATTTGAACCCACATGACACGCCTCGAAACGATTAATTTTTAAATAAAAATTTTTTTTCTAGCTAAGTATACACAAGAATTGCATAGTATTTCTGAGTAAAAATAATAAAAAACGATTCTATTCTTCGTAAATTCAAAAAACTTGCGATTATCTAATGTAAATAATTATTTACTAGCTGGGATCATAGTTATTCAAATTTACCGTAAGCTCTCTCGAAATCTCTTCCATCCCTTACTTGCAGTGTTAAACAATATCTCCAGAAAGCACTGAAGACCAATGCCAGGATCGACAATGAAATGAATGGATGGTTGATGAGAGATTCCTATTCATATCGTATAAGTGATTGTATGACATCAGCATATGTTAGAATTTCTACGTAAGAAAATCGGAAAATTTCATACAGACGCACATACCTTAATTTGAGATCCGAAGGTGGACATTCCCTGAAAATCGGATGTAAATAAATAAATAAATTGGCGACATTAATTGCGATATAAGTATAAAGTTGACAAGTTACCCTGAATGTCTTTTCCATAATTCCCATTGTACTCTTGCCAATCAGATGCTTCGCCTTGGCGTCGTCGATCGTCTCAAGAAGTTGCCGACTTTCAAATGAAATCTTTCTTCCCGTTATAGAGGTATCGTAGTATTCGCTTGACTATCAAATATGGATAAATTAGGAATAGTAATAAAATTCGGAGAGCATGTGCGCATAAAAATGAGAAATAAATGCGATTCTGGATACTCACCTTTGGATCGACAATCAATATCGCCGGTAAATCTTTTGATTTTAATCCATAAATACCAGAGATGTAATCTGACCATTTTACACCATCCAACCAAGCAAAAGTAACGCTTTTATCGTTTTTGGAATCATTCGGTTCACCGGTTTGTTTGTAATAAAGTCTCGCAGCTTCTTTCAAGGAATCCTTGGTTTTGGTGAAAGCTTCATCACCGGTTGGTTGCAATACGCCCAAAACAATCAACCCATCACCACTCAAAATGTCCTCATAATTCTCTGAATTCATTTCTGGAACGAGAGGATATTTTTCTGATCGAACCCACTTCTTTAGTGCGCCAATATCTGAGAAATCACCGGATGATTCGGAAAGGTAATTCTTTTGTAAACTATCCTTGAGGACCACCAGTGTAGGAAGCTTGTCAACTTTTAAAGTTTCTACAAGCTTTTTATCTTTGCTAGAATAGAATTTCGTCGAAAAGAAAGAGCGCGATAGTATTTTCATGTTCCGCTTGAAAAAAAATTTTTTTTTTTTTTTTTTAAGATGACAACATTCATAATTATTATAAACACGAATAATCTCAATTCTCACCAAGAATCGGGAAGGCGTTTTCTCGTCGTATAGATAGACATATATGACCTCATCATTCTCTTTAGCTTTATCTAGATCGTCCGCAGTGATTTCAGATATCCGTGCAGCACCAGCCTTTTCGGCAAAGTCCTGTAAACTTTGTAATTGACGTGATCCCTTGTAATCAACTATATCATCGGGGCTTTGAAATCTGCAAAGAAATTCATGCATAATCATCGTTAGAAACAGGCGTGACCGCGCCTCCCCACAAATGAGTGAAGATGATGATTCGAGAGAAAGCATACAGTTTCAAAGTTGGGTATCCGGCAATCTTGTATTTTCTACATAAATCTTATTTCACAGATGATTTCTTTCAATTAATTATAATTAACCGTAAGATATCAATTATTCGATGATCCATCAATTTGCCTACCTCCATCAACAGTACAGTCCACCTTGCCAACGTTTACCTTGTCCTTTAGCTTTTTACCCAATTCCTCCCAAGTAGGCGCCAAGTGTTGACAATGGCCACACCACGGAGCAAAAAATTTAACGAACCATGGTCCTGAGCTTATCAGTTCGTCGAAATTTTTTCCGGTCAATATGACAACTGTTCCTAATGGGTTTGTCGGGACGGAGGATTCAACAGGAATTTCCTCGTTGGTAACATAGATTTCTTCGGTACCCTCCTCTTGACTGTCGTATAATTCTTCAGCTTTGGTCTTGGTGAACTCGTTCAGGGCTTCTATATTTCGAATGCCGTTGAATCTATCTACTTGTTTGCCACCGTTGAATCTGAGTTACGGGATGGAGAAGGTTATCAAATCGAAAGTTAAAGAGCATTGTGATAAAAACGGGTGAAAAGGATAATTATTATTTACAGGAGTAATGTCGGATAAGCCCCCACACCATTTTTTACACAAAGATCTGGGGAAATCAGGTTAGATAAATAGGACGTTAATTACAGGTAGACCATGGAAATAAATCAACAATTCCCTGACCTCCGTGAAGAGTACAATCAACCTTGGCAATATAAAATCTCTTTTCCCCAAGAGAATCTCCCTGTTCGCTAGCCAATTGGTTCCATGTGGGTTCTAATTGCAAAAGATATACGTTTATTTGCATTCGGTGAATGTGCTCGATTATCGGATGAGCCTGAACACAAGACATTTACCCAGAGCTCTGCAATGTGAACACCAGGGCGCATAGAAATCGACAAACCTTTGGGGTTGTAAAAATTGTAATAATTTTAGCCACGGAGAATGCGTTCCTTCAGCGGAAGAAGTCAAATTAACATACCATCTTCCATTGGCAATGGTTTGATCAAACGTTTTCGGTTCCAACTCTATCACTTCGGAACCTAAAACCTTCGCAACTAATATTATCAGGAACGTCGCGAAACTTGTCATAAATTTCATCTTTATTATAAGAGATGTGAATGAGAAACGAGAGGGCAAAGATGGTTGTGGAAACGAGAAAAAAAAAACTTGTGACCAAAGCCTTTTTGCATGGCGGCAAACACGAGGAAAGTCCGGAATAACATACTTTTTCAAAGAAATTCGACGATTCGAGTTAACTCTTGATAATTATATTTGAGTTCGAAATGGCAAAAATAAAGTGTATGTGAATAACTAAGCATAGTCATGGATTCGCCCAATGAATTTCCAACAACTGTCGTACGTAACACAAACATTTCTATTTACGTGATACTATATACGTATATACAGTATAATTAGATTAAAAATAGTCGGTAGTACAAATCTATAAAAAATGACATTGAGAGAACGTCTAAAAAATATTAATTTATCATCTTTTTTCGCGCCCAAAATCTACAGAATTTCACCTTCATCTCCCTGGTTGAGTACTCCTTTTTAAAATCTTCCAACAAATCCATCATCTCTTCCGAAGACAGACTCAAATGAGCTCGTAACATTTCGGCCATTTCTCCAAAATACTCATCGAGCATACTCGCGTAGTATATTCCCCCCTCTCCTCCAAGTTTTCCCAGGGCTAGTAACTTGCTTTCCTGACACACCTCGGTTAGTCCTTTTTTCGAAAGCAGCAGGTGTTCCAGATGATCCACTATGTTTTCGTTTTCATTGCAGTAAACTTGCACTTTATTTTTTTTAAAAAAAAAAAAAAAAAAAAAAAAAAAGAAATGAAATAATAATAATGCCGTTGCCAGTTTTTCAAAGAAGGTCGACCATTAGTTTGACGATTAATTTGCGGACACGTCGACAAAGGATCGAGGGAAAATTAACATACATCCGGATCTGATCTGAATCACCTTCGGTCCCGCGTTCACAACGTTCAGGTCCGGTTCAATGAATTCTATCCAACCTCCGGGTTTTGTAATCCTAAATGTGTGAAAAATTCGGTTTGTTTCTCGGATCGAAAATTCTTGAGAGGAAACCAGAATCGCTAGTCACCTGACCAATTCGTTAATGACACTTTCCCACTCGTTGTACCCGAGAGAGTACACGAAATAACACATTCGAACATAATCAAATTCATTTTCGTCGAACGGCAGTCCACTGATGATATTGGCTTGGACAAACTTGATATTTTTTGATGATGCAGGATATTTGAACGGTACCAGCCCGACGCCAACAAAGTCCGGACTTGAGTACTCACTGGCCACATCGATTAACCACGATCCATTTCCACAACTAACAAAAAAAAAAATAAACCTACAAGGTCAAATGAAAATCGCATGAGAGATGTGCTTGGAAACACTACTTAACCCCACATCTAGAACGACACTCGAGGAATTCATGACATCGTCCACGGGAGCCAAAAAATTACTTTGCCACAGAAACCGTAATAAAAAATGAGGGCTGGTATGGCCGACAAGTTTTTCGGGAGGTTTCGGTAGTTGATATTTTAGACCATTTTGACTGGCGTTGCTACTTATCACACGATCGGAAGAGGCGACGATTTTAGGTTGCGGTGTCGATTTCCTTCTTATCCTCTTAATTACGATGGATAGATGATTCCCCATTCGAGCGTATTTGGAGGGAAACGATAAATAAAGAAATATATATCCTTTTTCCTATATAGAATTTTTAATCGTGGTGCTACCCCAAGATCACTGGAACATAATTGGTGAGGTTAACAAAATGTGAAACAAAGTTCTATTTGGTTTGTTTGTAACTACGGAGTGCCACCAAAGAATTCGCTTTTCATACCACCATTTCAACAAACTCCCAAGCTCATAAGTGCAATGCAATGTTTTTGCATCATTCTTTACATGATGAAATTTATTTTCCGAATTAATTTAAACAGACGAACAAAAGAAAAAAAAGGATTGGTAATAAGGAAAAACCACAAACAGGACAAAACTTAAAAACAAGGCCTAACCAATTTTAGATGGACGGTAAAGGTGCAACGTGAACAATGCGCATATGCTTGGGCACCAGAGGAAAACCATGCGTGGGAACGTACAGTGGTGGCAATAGATAATGACAATCAAAGTAATATAATAAACTTTAATCAATTTTTATTTTTAGATTATAAAATTTTAGATATACAGTATATATAGCTTAGAATCTATTATTTATTTTTTTTAATATTTTGTCTCACCTCCCTTATTGTCTATTACTAATTTTA